AAGCTGGCTCGGCTCTTATCCAGGCCTGTGAGCAGGCAGGCGCAACGGTTCCCAGGTATGACAATAATCCACCAATCCAATTTGCTTGCAGTACTAACGTGCACTAGATATTGTTATCACGAGTATGTGCCTCTGGCCGAATCACACATATTGTTTTTGCTAATACCAGTCCCTTAAGAAAACTTTTGGTTGCAGGAAACTGTACGTGCAACCCATGCCACACCTATTCCACGCCATTGGGACCTATATACTTACCGATACCATAGGTCGTATGTGCCTCGTCGAAGTCGAACGTGCCCCAAAGCCTGTGGCCTCCTGTGCTTGGCCGGTACAACCCGGCATGGTGGTGAAGACGAACTCACCACTGGTTCACAAGGCAAGAGAGGGTGTAATGGAGTTCCTTCTCGCGAACCATCCCCTCGATTGTCCTGTCTGCGACCAAGGAGGAGAATGTGATCTTCAAGACCAGTCGATGCGTTACGGTGCCGATCGGGGTCGATTCCATGAAACCGGTGGAAAGCGTGCCGTGGAGGATAAGAACATCGGCCCACTGGTCAAGACCTCAATGAATCGATGTATTCACTGCACTCGCTGTGTCCGATTCATGAATGACGTCGCCGGCGCCCCAGAACTAGGAACCGCAGGTCGCGGAAACGACATGCAGATTGGAACCTACCTCGAGCAGAACCTCAACTCAGAACTCTCGGGCAATGTCATTGACCTTTGCCCTGTCGGTGCACTAACTTCGAAGCCCTATGCTTTCCGGGCACGTCCGTGGGAGCTCAAGCACACCGAATCGATCGATGTCCTTGACGCACTTGGCTCTAACATCCGGATTGATAGCAGAGGCCTGGAAGTGATGCGGGTTGTCCCGCGATTGAATGACGATATTAACGAGGAATGGATCAATGACAAGTCGCGATTCGCATGCGATGGGTTGAAGACCCAGCGGCTCACAACTCCGCTCATTCGTCGGGAAGGCAAATTTGTTCCTGCCACCTGGGAACAGGCTCTAACGGAGATCTCATCGGCTCACCAGAAGCTTCAACCACAGGCCAATGAGTTCAAGGCTGTTGCTGGACACTTGGTTGATACTGAGTCGCTCGTAGCCATGAAGGACCTGGCAAACAAGCTTGGCTCTGACAACCTCGCCCTGGATCAACCTGGCGGCGGTGCCCCCATCGCTCACGGTATCGATGTCCGTTCCAACTACCTGTTCAACTCCAAGATCTACGGAATCGAGGAGGCAGATGCAATCCTTTTGGTTGCAACCAACCCTCGTCATGAGGCCGCAGTTCTTAATGCCCGTATCCGCAAGCAGTATATTAGGTCTGATCTTGAGGTTGGACTTGTCGGTGAGGAGTTTGAGAGCACATTTGACTTCAACCATTTGGGCACTGATGTCTCTTCCTTGAAATCCGCTTTGTCCGGAGAATTTGGCAAGAAGCTTGCCGGAGCCAAACGGCCAATGATTATTGTCGGTAGCGCTGCTGCTGAGCACCCTGATGCCAAGGCTATCTTCGAGGCCGTCGGTGGTTTCGTTGAGAAGAATGCCAGCAACTTCATTACCTCTGAGTGGCAGGGCTATAATGTCCTTCAGCGTGCGGCGTCTCGGGCTGGTGCCTATGAAGTTGGCTTCACTACGCCATCTTCCCAGGTTGCTCAGACTACCCCCAAGATGATGTGGCTTTTGGGCGCAGATGAGATTGCCCAAAGCGAGATCCCGAAGGATGCGTTTGTCGTTTACCAGGGACACCATGGTGATCGCGGCGCTCAACTTGCTGATGTCGTTCTCCCGGGAGCTGCCTACACCGAGAAGTCAGGTACATACATCAACACAGAAGGTCGTGTGCAGGTTACCCGTGCTGCCACTTCTCTCCCCGGTGCAGCTCGTGATGACTGGAAGATCATCCGTGCCACTAGCGAGTTCCTCGGTGCTCCTCTTCCTTATGATGACATTGAGGCTCTTCGCGACCGCATGGAGGAGATCAGCCCTGTCATGCGTCACTACGACGTTGTTGAGCCGACCTCGGTTGGCTCGTTGAGCAAGGTCCAACTTGTGGACCAGAATAGGGGATCTCCAGCCACTGGGGCTCCTTTCAAGAAGGTGATCGAAGATTTCTTCTTCACTGACGCTATCTCCAGAAGGTGAGTACCCTATTCCCTCATTTATCATTAATCGATTTACATTGCTAACTCTACTTCAGTTCGCCCACCATGGCTCGCGCCTCCGCTGCCAAGGCCACTGGAAACCCTGAGACCAACTTCATGGCCGCAGGAGAAATGTCTCCTCAGGCTTTGTATGGCTAGATCGGGTCTATTTTGACCTCATTCTGTGTTTCTCTAATGGTTGCAGGCGTTTTTATTGTACCACATCTTAAATTTCCCTCTTGATGTACTGTTTCCTTTCCATCCTCTGTGTTTTTCCCTATCATCTTGAACACCCTTCCGGTTCCTGTTGACCTCTTCGCCATTCTCCGGTGTCGCCTGGGATTAATCGGTAGTGGTTGCCTTGTACATAAAAGACTGAACCCCCAAAATTTCGAGTCCGTGGGCGTCGGAGATGATAAATCTTACTTTTGTAATTCGGTGCGTAGTAGCCTTCGACAGACAACCCCATATATATCCCTCTATGGGGTATATTGCAATATCAAGGAGTCAACGTCGCTTGGGTATATACATATATCTATAGACCTAAGGAGTCAAGATGAACTCCTAACTCCTAGGTCGATTGGATGCTCTCCTGCATATAAGATGGAAACCGTATCTCGCTCTGTTGAACTATGTAATATATCTGAGTTGTCTCAGGTGGCGCCAGTTTAGAGCTCGTCATCGTCCGTCTCACCCGCAGTTTCTTCGGCATCCTCGCTGGGCTGGGTTGGAGGAGTCCTCTTGATGGGCCCGCCTGTCCTTTTGGCAAATGGCAAATCTCGTTGAGGTGGCGCGGTGTCTCTCGCTGGAGAGGCCCGCTTCAGCTGGGTAGGTTCATCCTGTGTCGAATCGTCGTCCGTCGTGCTATTGCCTTGTTCGTCGTCCAAAGGATGAGGGGTCGAACGCTCTTCGTCATCGGTATCTTGATTAGTGGAGTCACCTCGATCAGTCTTTATTGAATCAATATCCATTTGTTCGAACCCATCGGAGTCGTCTGTGTCGCTCATCTTGCGAGCACTTCTCTTTGCTGAATGAGATTTCTCGGCGATTCCATGTGACTCTTCGGGAATGCTAGCCTGTATCTCAGAGACTGTCGATATTTGGTTAGTCAAGATGTCTGGATTTCTCTGTTTATGCCACCTACCTTTTGTGGCATCCACAGTGGCTGATGCTAAAAGACGTTGCTGGTTGCGGATTTTAAGCTTTTTCTCGTTCAAGACTTGCACAAAATTGGCTACTAGTTGATTCTCATGCTCAGTTTTCGCATGCATCAGCTCCTCGAGCTGTTCATTCAACCTATGTATGGTATCCTCGGCAAGGCGATAACGGTCAGTCAGGCTGGATACTTGCTGCTCTAGCATATGAACTCTAGCCGCAGTGATTCCTGTCCATTCAAACAGCTCAACAGCTTGTTCATCGTCTTGCTTGAGGATAAAAGCACCAAGGCGTTGCTATGTGGGCGTTAGTAAGGATATATACACATATAGCCCGCCGGCGTGGAACACGAACTGTGATAGTTTGAACTCGCTTGCGTATCGTAACCACAATTTCCTTGTTGTCTTCGTCAGAACCCGATATATTGGCCGAAGCCTCGAGGCCAGTGGCCCAATCCGGCTCACCCGGAGGGGTAGAACATTGTCCCAGAACGAGTGAGACAGTTTTAAACCATTCATCATCTGATCCTTGGTAGTTTTTCGCTTGAAGGTCCTTTAGGCGTGTTTGTCTCACTGCACGACATGAGTTCATGACCTCCAATCTTCATTCTGTGATGACCCACCTGAACTAACATAGGGTGATTCACCCTCGGTAGCCGTCAGGCTCAGATCAAGCGGCGCAGGACCGGTACATGAGACATGAACGAGTACAAAAGCCCCAGTCTCGTCAGATCTGGGAAACCGCAAGATTCGGTCTGTTGAAACGGGAGGTGACATATTTGAAAGAGTGAAGAAAGTTATAGAGAAAGAAAAGAGTTAAGCTCTCCAGAAGTGAAATACTTTATTTAGTAACAAATGTCATATCCCAAGGCAACAGAAGTGGAACTCATAGGTAACAAGGTCTCTCCACATAACTATACAATATGAAACTAACAGTTTTTATGGTAATGTTAGTTAGATCTCAAATTACAGTACAATTATCTCGTATATAATATACTGACAGCTATATAATTCAATATATACAGTACGGGGAGAGCAGTAGCTACATATGTAACCTAAGAACGGTACTGGACAATGTTCTGTTACATGTAATAACTGAGTATCATATATGTATTATACACTTGGAAGTATGCAATCTCCAGTATTCAGGTCAACTCCATACCAGATACATTACCAGTACGGGGGGGGCTGTCACGTTCTTCCTCTCCTCCACGAGGAATTTGAGATCCAGCCACAACATCTTTTTTTCCCCTGTCTCCTCTTTTTCGCAAAGTTCCTTTGATTCCTTGGATTTCCCCGAATATCAAGGTGTCTTGGAATATCCCCAATGCTCAAGTGTTTGTGAATGTTTATGGATGAGGATCCGGCATTTATCAGGTCGCCTAGTGAACCCGCTTGGTCTCTCATTCGGCGAAAACGACTCTAGAGCGAGGCTTACATTGATCTGATTCCTCCAACCCGCCTTGCGAAATCCGAGTTCACTTGTCACGCTACGATCCCGAAACCGTGCTCCTCGTTATCTTTCGTCTCTACCAACCGACACGGAATGACGCTCATGTCCGCACCCCCTGAACCCTCACCAGTGTCGCAAAGCACTGAGTCTGCCGCTTAATCACAAACCGATTTCGGACGCCTGTAATCGGCCCATGACCTCTGTGTCCTCTGTACGCCTTCAACCAATTCGCTTCGCCGATCATGGAATCTTTGCCAATCCACCTACGAACCGGTACCGACGAGCCGATTGAATGCTGGGATGATGATGACGACTTGCAGTTCAGCGAAGATATTCACTTTCGCACCGCATCCAGCGCGGGATCCATAACAAACTCGTCATTTCGGCCCTCTGGGCACCGAGATTCTATCTCCTCTCGTCGCTCTGCTCGCTCAGATATTGACTCTAATGCGGGTGATGAAGACTGGCAGGTCCCGCTCTATGACAATGATGAATTTGCAAAAGAAGATGCCATTGCCTCGGCGAAGACTGCGGGCATTCCTATTCCTCCAGATATCCCCAAGTCAGCTCTTATTGGGGGCACGATCAAGCGCTTGTCAACTCGAAAGACCAAGCAAACTTTTGTTGATGACTGGTCAGAAGACGTTGAGCTCCCGGGTCCCGAAACCCTATTACAGCTCAAAACTCCCCAGGAAACATGGTTTCCTGACACTCTTCGACATTTGAGCTCCGCTGCTACCAGTCCAGTAAAATCCACGGCCTCGCCATCTTGGGATGAGGAATTCTCGACGCGTTTGCAATCTACCTTGGGGCCATTTGACACCTTCCAAGACGACAATGGTAGTCTGGAAGCCCGAGACATTCCAACTCTCAAAGCCCCTCGATCTCCGAAGAAATTGAACATTGGCAATGTTGGCAGTGGTTTCAATATTGAACAGGAAGCAGACGACGACTTCAACCAGGATTTTGAACTTCCCGCCAATCATCAGCCTCTCGAATTATCCCATCGAAAAGCGAATTTCTACGTTTCTAGTCCCACTCTGGAGGATTTTGATCTTGAGTGGTCCGAAGGAAGTATCGGTGTACGAGTTGGTGGTACCACAAGGGATGGTCGTTCGGTTCCCAGTTCTTCTATCTCTATCGCCAGCCCCAGCGTCTCAAGTTGTCTCACGGCGGAAAGTGAAGACGATGGCCTCGACGGTCTCGTCATTCCCGAAGGTCCGCTTGATTTCAGCGCTTCTCTGCAGAAGCGACAGACTGCGCAGGCTGAGAATGCCGAAGCGGAAGAGAGTCAGATGGATCAAACTCCTTCTGACGCTGACGACTTCTTTTCTGGCATAGATATCGACAATGAGAAGGCTTTTTCCTTTGGAAAGCCCGCTCTGAATCCTAATATAAAGTGCAAGACAGAACGGCCTTCCAGCCCGACTCGTCGATCTGCAACAACACTCACGTTCACCAGTGCGACAGGATCTCCACGAACTCGCATCCCACGTTTGTCCGGTCATGATCGAACACATTCAACCCACCTTGAAACTGTGTCAGAAAGTGGTGCACCTCTTTCCAAATTTCGAACATCACAATCGCGTCTAGGGCATTCATCTCAATCGTCAACCTCAAGTCTCCCAGCCCCTAGCGCTAATCCGACATCACCGACTCCTACACTCTCTAGTCGACGGGTGCTCGGGTCTCGCAATTCCCGAGACATTGCCCAGGCGGGCGAGGGTACCCCTTCAGTCAGGCGTTTGAAGACCAAGCGATCCCTGCCATCGATTCGTGGCTTAGGCTCGGCCGCTTCAATGACCGCTTCCCAGCGACCACCGGTCGATCGCCCGGTCCGCCTTCCCTCTACCAGACCTAAAACCCCGGTGGATATCCCCGTAACTGATGCGAGATCGCTGGGGCGTAGGCCACAGGTGCCATTTATGCCTGCTGGTGTTTCGGAATCCCAATCACATCATGCCAGTGTGAAGGGGTATCGCTCGTCGCGTCGCACCAATTCAGATAGCTCTGGTGGGCTTCTTAGTCCGCAGGGCACAGTCTCCCGACTTTCCCGACCAACTCGCAATGAACCGTTCCGTGCTGGGTTTGGCGACACAAGCGTGGATTCTCTCGGTTCTACAAAACGTACCATCACACGACCTACTAAAAGGCGCAACTTTGGGGATGGAACCGAGTTGGAGTCATTTGATGATCTATCTACATCGGTCCTGGCAGAGAGCAAGTTTGTCAAAACCCCCACCGGTCGAGGTGCTCCGAGGTCCATCCGCGCCAGGCTCAGCCAGAGCCGGATTGATCCCTATGATGAATCTCCCATTCAATCTTCGTCCCCATCGACCTCCAAACTGCGCAGTCCGACACCTAGATTTGCGCGAGATACAAATGCCTCCAGAAATGCAAGGGAACAACGCATTGCATCCATGGCTATTAACTTAAAAACCCGTGAACCGAATCCTCTTTCGACATTCAACTCAAACTGGAAATCCCAACCTATGTCAAGGATTCCTCCGGCCTCTGCAACGGTCAAAAGCCGGAAAGGTAAATCGAATGTCAAATCCACATCCAAGCCGCACTTGATCAAGCCCCTGGGGTCTCGGGTGCAGGATGCCAAATGTAAGCAAGACCGATCTCTACATGATTGGCCCAGGCTCATTGTTAACTGTTTTTTGTTTTTTTTTTTTAGCTGTGCGAGGTATGCGTTACAACCCTACCAATTTCCGGTGGGAAGGAAATGAAAATTTGGTTCAGGAATTTGATGCCACTACTTCCAAATCCCCTAAACCTGCCCCGGCTCTCATCGCCAACGTTGGGGCGCAGAATGTTCAGACGGTTGGTGGAATGGTCTTTGATCCACATCGTATGTGTTGGCTTAGGGCATCTGACGGCACTGACGAGGACGTGTTTGCCGGTCTGGACGACTTGGATGAAAAAATCACCATTGGACGAAACTCTTCGTTTGAGCCAGGGGATGCAAGTGCCGGCGAATCCTCTGATGAAGGACCTATGACTGAAGAATTTGATGTCGGTCCAGAATTCATTCGACGACAACGGGTTGAGGAAGATAAGTGGAGACGCAAGGTTGACAAATGGGTATTCGATCGTGAAAATCATTGGCAATGGATCATTCGTGACTTAGCCTTTGATCGATCATAGCATGCACAGCTTCCAGGGGTCTTTTAATCCCCCCACGAACTTTACGACTTGAAGATTCGGTATGATTTTATGGTTTTCTTTTCATATCCAGGATTGTAACTATATGTTTTAAGTACTTAATATGTTTTTTTGGCCTTTTTATATTGTATATATAAGTTCGGACTCGGGATTAATAATAAAAAAAAGAGTAACACCAGATATGTTTTTTTAGGGGGTCCGAACCTTGAAGTCCGATGTGTCTCACCTTCAACCAAACGTATGTCATCCTGTCGTCCCGACTTCTTCTTTTTTTTTTTTTTTTTTTTCGTTTCATCTTTTCTCACGGATACTCACTTTTGCCTGAAAAAAAAAAAAAAAAAGGATTTAACCCTGTGGGACAACATATGGTACAACATTGACAGGGATTGAAAGACTTCAAATCTCGAGGGTCTTCACTTCTTTAGGACTTCCCAATCCATGTTCCTTACTTTTATTTCACGGCTACTTGCATGGACAAATCTGTCGGGGGAATCTCCTGCCGACTTTGTTTGACGAAAGCAAACCTGCAGACTTTCCTGCTCAAGGTCTATAGGGAAGAATCGGGGAGATGATTTTGCCCCCCGTACTTCTATATCAAATCAGGGATGTTGTTTTCTTCAGTCATCACTCTCTCCGATAGGGTGCCTCGAATACTCTCCAGGGCTATCAACGTGGCTCTCTTAAGGACAGAGCATCAAAGGCAGGAATCCGTATCACCATTGCTTCTGTGCGCTGTCGTATCAGTCTGCTTCCACTTTTTATCGGAATTGACCACGAACCCTAGTCCTTTCTCACTTTTTCTTTTCTTTTCTTTTTTTTTTTCCCTTTCGGACTACTATCTTCCCCTTTGGTAACCTATGCTTCCCGTACCTTACAGAAGGTTCGACTCGCCTGGCTCCATCATTTCTTTTTTCTCTGTGAAATATTTGCTGTTCGTCTTCCAGGGATACCCTCTGTTGTCTCTTCTGTCGCAACATGGTCTCGTGCACTTCATCTTGGGCCATGTCAGTCCTGCACTGTTTGTCTTTTTAATAGGATTGCTATCCCCGTTTGCAGATGGGATTTTTGTGAATTATTCTCTATATCTTTCGCACTGTGTTTTTTTTTTCTTTCTTTCTAGACACAGTTTCTTTTTGTGATACTGTGTACCAGGGAACTGTGGCAATTCCTCGACTACATGCAAACGAGTTAGCACAGTCTTCTGGATTTCTCGTCTTTGTTTCACTATCCTCTCCCTCGGAGACTTGCTGTATACTGGTCCTCTTTTTTTTTCTCTTTCTCTTTCTATATTCTTCTATCTGTTTGAGACAGATCGACGTGGGCTGAACAATAATCAAGTGGCATTCAAACTCAACAAGGCATCAATTATGAGTAGCTTTGCAAGACGCAATGAAGGGAATGATGCTTATCTCATGAATCATCAAATGGCAGTGCCTGGCTCCTATGGTCAGCCAGAGAGTCATGACTTCAAGCAAGAAAGCCATGACTTCAACACGCATGGATCTGGTTCATATCATTTCCCTCAGCATTCCTTCAACCCATACGGGTCTCAATTTGGGCAGCCCTACGGCCCACAGTCGAGTCTGTCTCCCGGGTTGCAGCATTTGCAATATACGTCGGAACATTCGATTCCATCGATGACAACCCCTGATGACCCCAGGTTACACCATCCGCCGCAGTTCATGTCCCAATCGCGCTACCTTCAGGGGCCAAGATATCTCCCCCGCGACCCGTTGGGTGAAACAGATATTGAAAATCAGGAATCTCACAACGAGGCTACATTGCTGTCAGAGGCTGTAGTGCCGGCACTAAGCGGTTTCCCTGATGTAAAGGAGTTTGATCAACTGATGCAGAAGTGAGTGATTCGTGATCAACCCTGTGGGCTGGAGGCTAATATATCTCATTCTAGTTACGTGGAGGACCTGTCCATCAAGAAGCAAGATAAGGCGTTGATCTATGCGAAAAGAGCCCGTAACATCAGAACTGTATTGATTGATCCCAAAGATACGGCGGTGGAGTCGGCTCAATTTCGGTATGGATCTCTTTGGTTCAATCAATTGCCTACCTTGCTAAACAAATCAGGTTTTGGGTCAAAAAGATGTTCAAACTTCAAGCTGTGGGATCGGATGTATGTATTGCTTGTCCCACCGGAGATGATAAACCAATGCTGATGGAGCGATTCATTGCGATATAAAGCATAGGAAGATGATCTGTCACGAAGGAAAGCCGGTTGCAATTCGAGAGAAATTGTTCAAGATCCTCACCAAGGCTCATCAGCAATGCCAGCATGGTGGTCGAGACAAGACATCTGCTCAAGTCCGGCGGATTTATTCATGGTGGGCAAATCCGAGTCATGTCTATATATATACATGAACTATCTGGTCCACAGCCACTAATTATCTTATTAGGGTTCCCAAGGAACTGATCTCCCGCTTTGTCAAGATCTGTCCAACCTGTCAGGTGCGCCGTGGGGGATCACGTTTGACACCGCCCAACTCGCGAAGAAGTTCCCCCAGGCTAGAGATGGTCTCTCGATCCCCCAAACTCCCGTCGCCGCCAATTTCGCGACGAGAATCGACGTTTGCCGGTCAAATGCCCCTTGACAGGACGCAGGCGGACTATTTTGGTCATTTGCACGGTCACGGTGGCTGGCTAGATAGTCATCAAAATGTGCAAGGTCGCTCGAATCTAGGTAATGGAGTTCGGTCGTTCCAGGGTCCCATGGGCAACCTTTCACACTCAATTGCTGGCACCTTGGATCCATTTTCCACAGATCTATCCATCCCTCCGTCCCAGTTGAGTTACACAACGGGATATGTGCCGTCACATGGGGCTGCGCCTCAGCGAGAGTTTTGATTGTCTTTTCTGGTCGACCTGTGTGGATGTTGCTTTTTGATACTATCGGAGTACACTAATTGTGTGCTCCCCAAAAGTATACCTTGTTGAGGAGCCTCTAGATCGTTTTATGCTTCCTTGTCAACCACAAGTCTGATAGGTGGCATACACGAACATGGCGAGAAGTGAATTCCCTTTAGGGGGCTTTGAGTGTACGAAGAAACAAAGGGACCACAGTGAATTAAGAAGGGATGGGAGGAATTTGAATAAAACTGGAAACATGGAAAACCCTCAAAATCAAAAATAATACTTTTGAAAATTTGAAAATTGAATATGGAAACATGATCTTAAGTATACATAGCCCGTATAGTACGTTTGAGTGGTAACAGATGACCCAATAGTACAGAAGTTTTGACCGAGCTGAGGAGGATTTCCCTTTGATCGGCACTATAGAACACAGCAATCAGATATGCACAAAGTCCATGATCGTATTCGATAGTCAATTGCGGATTTAGCTGAGCCTGATGTGACCATTGCTAATTGCATACAGATCGGCGACATGAAAACATTAATTCATAGCAACACCCAACGGGGTTTGAGGGGTGTTGCATGGGTTCAAGGCACTTGGTGCCCGTGAGATAGGTGATCACAGTATTCCAGGCAAATATAAAGGGAATATAAAAGGAACGAGTGGATTGGTCTCAAAATTCCATCTCGGAACCTTTGGAAGATCCAAGATATCATCAATTGCTCAACTCATTCAAAGAGAAGAAGAAAAAGTAATCTAAACAGGAAGCGAGAACTTCTTGCCCTTCAAAACCCTGGAAAAAAAGCGCAAATGTCAGTGTCCCCAAGTCTGCATATATATAAAACTTGTTTTGGAGCAAATTGGGCTTACTTGTTGTAGTAAATGTAAAAGAAATCAGAGTAAAGCAATGTTTGAATGATTCCAGCGATAATGGTCACAGGCTGGAAGGAACGTTGGAAGGAGGCTTCGGTGAAATACCGGAAGACCCAGTTCGGGATGTAGAGTGCCCTATAGAGTCCCAGAGCAAACAGATAGTGGGTAGTGATAGTGTCTGCCTCCCCAGTTCGTTGCAACATGAATAGTTGTGGCAATATGGCAACCGATTCCAACCAGATAGAAAAAGTCCAGAGTATCTACATGACGTTAGTCCGAATTTCCACTCCATGGACAGGATGTTCAACTAACCTCGGAGATGCGATAATCGCGTGGAAAGAGAATTGCGAGCAACGCGCTAATTCCGAGGAGGTATTGAACCTTGAAAGTATCGATATTGGGATCATGTGTGGGTTTGTAGTCATTGAGCATGAGGTAGATGACGTAGGCCGAGGAACCGATAAACAGAAGCTTGAAGGTGGTGAGGTACAGAGACTCGGTGAATGTCCAGAAAAGGTCTAGAAGGCGCATGAGCGATTGAACATAAAGCCGACAGTGACATTGAAACCTACCGAGGTACCGAGTGACAAAAACGAGAAGGTATAGCACCTGCGATTTGAACGACAAACCGGAACAACTCTGCGATCCACCATTAGTTGCAAGTTATATGTGGCTTTATGGACATGAGCACATACACTTGACGTCTTCATCTTCCGCAGAAGCATGAAGATCGACGCCAGATGAGAGAAGTCGGCTGCGATTGAACGTTAGTATATCGCGTTGGTTTCCATTGGTTTTTATGTACCTGATAACCTGAAAAGATTCATTATGCCGGTGACGGATCTCAGTTTGCAGTGTGAATGATAATTTAAGCCGAGAGAGAGAAAGAGAGAGAAGGGGAGGAAGGGGGCGACGAGGTTGAAATTGGTAGGTTTCGACCAAAACAGCTGAGTTGTTGACACGAAGGCAAAAAATGGAAGGGGAACTTAAAATTACTTGCAGATCTCAGGTACAGATACATGTACATACACGCCCCGTACCGTACATATACATACATACCTTAAAATTGTATGTGGAATCTATGAACATGTATACTTACATTTTGCAAAAGTATCGAATGTGTGTATTCTAGTCACAAAAATATTTTGCTGGAAGTAAATCGTTAGAAATGATCTATGAATATCCCCTACTAATATATACTATATAATGTGGGCACCTTGCATTATACCTTGATATATATATCAAATTCAAATATTGCATCGATCATATATTTACTGTGTACACCGGAGTGCATAATGTCGTCAAATCATCATATTGATACAACCCTGAAAAAATACAAATCATAATCGCTACCTAGACTTACCCAATACCTTGACACAACCAGACAATTGACCAGATAAAACGCCGATATCAACTACCATTCCAGAACAAACATGTACATTAGCCTCGCTAGAACAGATTTCCGCCCCCAATGCTCTCATCGGCCATTCGCTGGAGATGACCTTCGGCTAGCTCGCTCTTAAGAGCGCAGATTGAGCTTTCACGATCCAGCCGATCCCAGTCTCGAAGTTCCGCTCGTTTGGACCTCTGCGTCTCTGCGATCTGCTCAAGGAGTTTTTCTTTGTCGACGTCGAGCTGAGCCAGCCGTTTCTCCACAGCAGGATCCAGAAGCGACGCAAGACTCCGACCTTCTGGTATGATAGTACATAGCCCGGCAAGGTGGTTTATACCCCTCTGAGCCAATGGTTGAGTCACAGATGGAGTGCTGGGTTGCCGGGAAGTCGAATGTCGGTAATTGCCACCTGGTACGGGGGATGAAAAAGAAGCACGAGGACCTGCTGGTGGAGTTTGCGAAGGTGTAGCAGGTCCGCGGCGTACCGGTGGAGACCCCGACCAATTTTCACGTGGGCCAGGTCCGCGGCGAGGACGAGTCGGCGCTGACAGTAAAGAGACATGCGGAGAACCGCGATGCTGATTAGATGGCGGTCTCGGTCCTTGATAAGGCCCCGATGGTGGCAGCGGAACTGAGCTTGCACCGTGGTTTTTGGGTTGGGTTGGGATGTTGCCACCAACCCTGTTCCCGCTTGTCTGAGGTTCCAAATGTGCCTTCTCTAAAATCGAAAAAGGCGAATGGTTACCAACCGATACCCGGTCCTCATGATCTGGCCGTTGCTGTGGGTGAGAAGGCACCGTATCGTAGATCTGATCCTTGTATGGTGATCGCCCCGAGGGTTTGGACGAACGTTGGAAGGGTACCGGAGAGCGAATTGGTGACCGACTACGAGCTGTGTGGGAAACCACAACAGGCTTTTCAATAGCCGGGGATGAACGTCGAGACATCGGTACGGGTTGTGAGGCCAAGGCTTGTGCAGGTGAATCATGTCTTGGTGGCGACAAAGTACGATCTCGATTCGTCGCATCACGAGGGTGGACTCGATGCGAGGCATTGATTGGACTTTGTGGCAATAAGACTTCCGCCTGTACTCTCGGCGAGGAAGCTCTGGGGGGTTTGTCAATATTCAAGACAGCATGGCCGTCTCGTCTCGCGGGTCGGAAACCCTGGCTGCTAGGAGTTGTATCGCGTATTCGTCTTGGGCTGTTGCGAGCACGAGATGCGTTCCGTGATCTGCCATCGCTGTAGGGCGACTTTGAGCGCCATTTTTGGGGCGGTGATCTGACCCTTTCATCTCTTCTGGGCGAGAATCTTCGTGGTGGGGATCGTCTTCTTTCATAGGTGGCTGGTCCAAAGTTTCTCCCCGGAGGAGTACGTGAGCGGCGCCGGTATGGTGGTGGTGACCGACTTCGTAGGCGCCCGTACCCTCTATTTGATGACGGTACCCAAGTGTCGGCTCGTGGTCGAGGAGGGCTTCGGGTTCGTGGTGGCGAACGCCGGTGACGAATTTCATACCCTCGAGAAGGGGAACGACCGCTTCTCTCGGCTGGACGATAACTTTCTCCACCTCGTCGTTCATCAAATCTAGGGAAATACTTAGAAACTTTCTGCCTTTAAACGTCTCGATGTGCCTACAAACCTTCTGCGATCCCAGTCCATCCTGGCAATGATAATAGGGATATTAGAGGCGGTGGGATGAAGTTCAAAGTACTCTGGTGCGTAAATGGAAGGCAGGGCACAGGAACACACAATTACCCTGTGCTACTTCTCCGTCTCCTGGGGGGAGGAGAGAGTGAAAGTATGTTAAATACAAGGAATTGGAAAGGGTCGAAATGTGGTAGATGAGAGGACTAAGCTAAACCCTTTTGGGAACCCATTCCTGGGACTGTGGACCTCGATTGTATATGTACATACATAACAAGACCCAAATCTATGCTGACCGAATATTTATACAGATCATGGATTATTCAATAAGAGGTTGATTGAAAACTAACCGTACATTACAGGCCAAAGGCCTTTCCTGCCACCTAGAGTGTAAGCAGCCAAACTCCAATGCTCATCATGAAAGATGTACGCCCGGGGAACCCAAAAGGAATAAGATAGAAAAAAAAAAAAAATACAATAAAAGAAATGTCTTTAATGCTTCCCTCGTCTCTCCTCTTCCTTTCGCAATCTTTTGCGGCTCTCCTGTGCAATCATGTCGCTCAAGTCCTCCTGGAAACCCCAGTTCGGTGGATTTTGCTGCTGTCTCTGTGACTCGTACATGCTCTGGAGGCTCTCTTTGCTGAGGCCATCGCCAGATTGGATTGCATCCAAGTTGATAGACACTTCAACATCTCCAGGCTTCTTGCGTTTCCGGGTTTGGTCATCTGCGCCAAGAACAGGAGGCTTGCCTGTTGATCCGCTAAGATCGTAGGCCCTATCACCCCCGAAAAAGCCTTCCACGTTCGTCTGTCTCTCGGGGATGACCTGGTAAGCACTCCGAGGGTGAACGGATTCCTCTGTGTCGGTACCGCGATGGTGTTTGCGCACATCAAACTCCCCAGAAACATTCTCTGCGCCAACAAATTCAGATGGTACTGCTGAATCTATCCCACTTGGGGTTTCCATGCCACTAGGAGAATGAGCACCTGCACCCACACCCTCTTCGTCGCTTTCTTCTTCCTGTTCATCCTCGTCCTCCTCTGCTTCACTCTCCTCTTCTGACTCTTCCGATTCATGTAATTCTCCCCAAAGCTCTTTTTCAATCGGCTCTCCTTGTTGGGCATGTTGCTGAGGTTGTAAAACGCCGAAGATATCACCTCCGAATAATGGGCGGTTGTGTTCATCGACAGGTGGCTTGCCATACCCTCCGGGATGGTAGCCCCACGACGCGCCGGGCGGAGGCGGCGCATTGAGGCCGGGGATTTTCAACGCGGGATAGGAAGACGGGGGTCCATATCGCTGCTGGTTGACAAGCCACGGCGGAGGGGCTCCTGGAGCCATACCAAGAGCGTCCCTTAAATCATCGCTTAGTTCGCCAGGTCGGAGGTGCTTGAGATTGGTTTCGTATTCTTTGCCTTCATAATAGATCTCACCGTAGCGAGTCAGCTCTGGCTTAGTTTGGAAACGGAAAAATGCCTCGTAAAGCTTCTGGTAATCAATGTCCAGCTTGCCCATCTTCGGCTGCACTCTTTCCCTTTGCTTCTGTTTCAAACTTGACTGTTCTTGCTTCTCTAAAGCGGCGTCGCGCATTTCAGATATTCCCGTCTCCTGTATAAACTTAGGGAGAGCAAACGGCGCCTTCTCCACTCCGCGTTTGGATGAGAGGTACTCTCGCTTGAGCGACCAGTGAGAGGGGACCGGGACCACATTGCGATGGGCTTTAATGTGAACGAGAAGTCGAGGATCAGGAGCGGATGTATCTGTCCATTCAACAATTTCAGGCTTTCGTACCATTGCTTTGAGTTCAGCAACGGATAGCTTGTTCATTTCTTTCCGCTTCTTTTTTGAGATCTTGGGCTCGCTCTCTTGCTCTTCGTCGGGGATTCCATCACCGTCGTCAAAGAAAACCTCAGGTTTATCAGACTCCTTTGCTGATGAATTTTCGTTCAGTGTCTCGTCGAATTTTCCAGCAACGCCTTTGTACATCTCCCATAGCGGATCGGTTGGCTCGGGAAGCAGATCAGTATTGGTATCAGCTGATGCATCCTGAGTAGCCACTGGAAGAGGTGACAGTTCGCGTGATACAGTATTGTCGACGGGAACGCTTGTAGTCTTCGCAGTAGTGTCAGTTTTGCATCGGCTATGGCTGAGAGACTTTGAGGGATATGTCTGCCTTACCTCAGCTTTAGAAGCCTTTTTCTTCGCTCTTCTGAGCTGGTTCTTGCTTAATTTCATGGTTACCGGAAGGTTTGGTAGCCGCTCAATCAAGGTGATGCCAGGTGGGGAATATTGTAGAAATAAAAATGGATGTAGTACAAATAGCTTGGTTCAAGTGCGTGCAAGGAGAAATTCAGATAGCGACAGACGATGGAGCGGGTGGACAAGGTTAAAAACCGAATGTATTGCATCTCAATTGTCATCACGTGCGTCGAGCTACAATGGCTTACCGCCTGTATTTTGCCACACTGCATACCGCCTACATCACCAGGGCTTGGAAGCCTTCCTAATGTACATTGATGCACATATATATTCGGTGCAAGTATTTTTTAATAGAATTTTCGGTATTGTTCCAGCTGACTACTGATATGAGTTAAGAAAAAAAGAAAAGAAAAACAATGTGTTATTGTACAAAATGTGAAACAAAATGAGCTGTGTACCCGATGGTGAAGACTATCAGCAAAGATAACAAATAACATCCGAAGACAATTTGTACCTGAAGCAAAGGTCTAAACCGCTTTTCGAAGCAGTAATTCACCAATCCGGCCAGATCATAGGGAAATAATCCAGATATAGAATATGTGCCAGTGTTGATGTGAGTGGTTCAATATTGAGCTCAGTAAAACCTAGAAGGTTAGACAGACAGTCTATTTCTTCTTCTTTGCGGACCTCGATTCTGTTTAGGTATTAGGTTTTGATCACAGTATGAAACAATTGGGTGTAGAGGAAATTACCTGCAGCAGTTCGTTTCTTTTTCGGCCGACCCTTCCCGCGCAATTTGGCACTGTGGTTCAGATGTTTAGTGAAAACTCATTTTGGTGTGGTGTGGATACCAATTCTTACATCTGAATAGCTTCTTCCCTGTCATCTTCGGCTTCGTCAAATGTCGTCAATCCAAGAGGTTTATAAGTATTTTGTAAATCCTGGAAAGACACAGTCTTCTTTGGGTACCAGGCTGCAAGCGCTGGTCCACGCAGGCGCTGTCTCAAGACCTTGTTGCCCAGTCGAAGCCGTTGTGGGTTGAAATTAAGAGAGAATATGCGGCATTGGGTCTAGGGAATTCCAAGTTAGTGATTGCCAGCACAGTGCAACGGAAAGTGTGGTTGAACCTTCACTAGATCCAAGATCCGACTTGACGCCATTTTCCTTTCTTAGAGGTTCAGAATAATCATGCGCAAAAAGAAATTCGCGAAGCAGCTGTTCACCGCAGCTCGGGAGACAGATGTTATCGAACTTGGGGAGATACCAACTGAAGTTTGCTGGTAGTCATGTGACCTCCCGAAGTATACCGCCTACATATCATTCATGTGTTTTACCTCAGATGGGAAGCCAAAAAAAAAAACAGAGCAAACTGGACTGTGGCTGAACAGTACTTACACCAATTGACATGCCTCAAAACAATGAAATAGCAGATTCAGCAGGCTTAAAAGGCCCAGGGATAGATCTAAAAAGATCGTCATCTGTCTTTGGGTCAGATGCCACACAAAACTCACAAAAGCGGCTGAAGGTGAATACCGTATTCTCGTCCCACTAATTGAATTTCTGCTCGTTCAAGGTAGTTGCTAACATCTATTTACCTCAAGGTTCAGCAATCAAGTCGGCCATCGGATACTAAGTTCTCCAGTCATGGCATGGCCAAGTCCAGCAACAATTCCCGTCTTCTTTTTCTACAACACCTTGTTCGAGAAATTTCCACTGGTTCTGATCTCGCTGGTGCTGACTCGGAGGTTGTGGATGCGGTTTTGAGGCTGGATGACACATTTTGTGGGACAAGGACCCAATTACCTTCCAGAGATTCTTCCATGGCTGGTGAGGTCCCAAAATCACACCATCCAGATCACAGTTCCAAGTTGGTCAGTGGATCGTGTGACCCTAAGCTACCCCCGATCATTGATGACAAGCTGGAACTTGCTGTCTTTACACATCCAGCTCTTAGCAACAATAACAACACAACCTACGACCGACTCGAAATTCTAGGGGATGCATACATTGAGCTGATTGCAACCAAACTCGTCTGGGAGAGATTTCCAGATTTACCAGCAGGTCGAATATCACAGATTCGGGAGATCCTTGTTAAGAACGAGACACTTTCGGGCTTCGCAGAAAAGATTTGGTTTGGACCGCAGGGTTTCTGTGCCACCGAACTACAATACCCCGTCAAAGCGATGGACCAAAACAAAGGGCGACGTCTTCGAAGCCTACGTCGCGGCAGTCATACTATCTGATCCTGTTTGTGGCTATGAAGTAGCCGAGCATTGGCTAGCAGGTTTATGGGTGCCGATTCTCAAGAACCTAGGACACCAGAAAGGGGAGTTGCGCTCCAAGGAGGCCCTTGCTAAGAAAATTATGGGGAAAAGCGTCAAGCTTGAATACCTCGAGGAGCGTCCATCAATTCAGCAGAAGGGTGGCACACAGACTTTCTTCGTCGCGTTATATCTCACAGGATGGGGATGGAATAAAAGGTTTCTGGGTTCCGGTCAGGGGTTGAGTAAAGCAGCTGCGGGTGACGAAGCAGCGAAAAAGACATTGCTGAATACGCCTCTGATTCTTGAGATCATGTCAGCAAAGGAATCATGGGAGTCTGACTCTTAAAGGTCTTGGTCATATGCCTCTCGCGATCGATCGGTCCAGTCTCTTCTCGACATCACATTTCCAATTGAAGAAAATACCACCAGATTGATACATTCGTGCATATCTACCTACATAGTACATAAATAGGTGTTGGAATCAGACCGTCTTCGGACTGTCCTGTCCTTATGTTTGTTTATCAGACTGGGCGTCTATTTGCTAGTTCATCAGGGTATAAATACCCTACTTTCCCCATAGATTAAATACCAGAGACTTTTACTTCTTTACATATCTCTCCCCTATACCTCAATAGGTTATAACTTTCAACCCCAAGTTTATCTTTTTTTCAAGATTTAAATAAAGGTGTTTGTTTCTCATTTGGTTTTATTCCGGCCCTTACATTTTTTATAAAAATTATAGACCCTCCTTACGGAGGGTCCGCCACCCATATGAAAGTGCTCACCTATATTATAAATTTTCTCTCAATTTTACTATAACCACTATTTACTACACAACCTAATAGTAAATTGATCGATTTAATATAATATGTAGATTAATTAGATACTATAGTATTAGAATATCAAAAGAAATTAATTATTCCGACGTTTTTAAGCCCTTCACTTCCTAATTTCGACTAAAACCTTCTTCTATTTCCGCCTTATCTTTTCCTAATCGGCTTTTTCGCTTAATTTATATTCCTTTCGTTTTATTTCTTTCACTTAGGATAAATTTATAATACTAGTGATTAGAATATAACGACGAGAAGTATTATATCTAGCGTAGCGGGCACCTATAATAGCTTCTATTCGGTCGAATTCCCGCTAAAGTTAAAGAGCTAAAGTAGCCTACACTTAAGCGCCCTTTAACTATAAGCTTTATAAGCCCTTCTTTGAACCGTAAAGAAGTAGGGGTATATTAATTAGGACGATAGCGAATACTCCTCACTTTTTCAGCTATTTTTAGGGTGCTAAACTCGGTATCTAAGACGTTATTAATAGGGTATTTAACCTTAGTGGATTATTAGTGTGAGTAATTTAGCAGATAGAATATTATAGCCTAATAGTAGGTTATAATATTTTATAGAGGAAGTAATATCTTATATAATCATATTATATAAGATATAGTATTGAAGGTTATACTTATCCTAAATAGGAGATGAAGATATATGTATATGGATGAGAATATATTAAGAAGTATATTATATTCTATTAGAGAGTAGACTGTCACTCTTTTTATAAACATTTTAGGAGGCAAATATAAGATAATATAAGATATCATATTATCTCGCGATTTATGGCGATCTAGAAGTGAATCATAATATAGTTTACCACTATTAGTATATCCTTGGATATAGTAATAGTTACCAGTAATTTATATATGATATCCTTCACACCATTATACTCTACTATAATAATATACTATTATACCAAGAATTAGGATGTAGGATACTATTAGCACAGCGATTTTACTAATAGCATAGCGCTAAATCCTAATTAGGTTCGGTCGCTCTTAGCATCCATATTTTAATACTAGTGCCATTTATTATAGTATCACCTTAGTAAAAAGCACAGCCCCTAAACCACATTAGCCATATAATATCTGCTCTATAATTAATTAATCTAATCCCCCGAGATCTATACCTCTATTAAATCATATGATATATATAGGGCTGATTTGATAGGGTTATCCGAGTAACATAAAAATAATTAAAAATTACTAGTAAAAATATAAAATTAATACTATTCGAAAGAGCTTTTGATTCTAAGTATACTAGTATATTTTATAGAGTAATTGATACTATTTTAATAGGGAAATAGAGGTTTAAAAAGTAGTCAGAAGTAGTCAAAAATATAGTTAAAAATAAAGCTATTTATGGTGTAGGACTTAAATTATCGGAGATAATTTACCTATAGATTTATTATTATTATAGGGTGCTTAGATAACCCTAGCAAATTAGCCCTATATAGATCACGTGATTTAATAGAGGCACGGATCTCGGGGGTTAGATTAATTAATTATAGAGTGGAGTATAGCGTAGATTAGGCTGCGGCAACATCCTCAATATCCATGGATATCCGTATATCCTCTCCGCAACTTGCGGATATGGTAGGTCACCTAATATCCGCAATCCTCAATTTTGTGGATATGGTATGCTACCTAATATCTAGTGGATATGAAATATACTAAATATACTAAGCGTTATAACCTTTTTAAATATGTATTATTTATATAGATTTCTTTATATTTATCAAGTAACTATACTATAATTAAAGTTTTTAATTTATAGACTAACTTTATTATTTCCTAATATAGACTATTAAAGATTAATCTCGAATCTATTAGGTAACCTTAGTTACTTCCGAATCCGCCCTAATCGTCCTTATACACCCTTATCTACTAGTATTTCTAGAAGGTTATCGTCTTCCTTATCGAAATCCTTAAATAATCGTTTCCTTAATTATTTACGTTATAGCTACCTACTTTAATTAGCTTTCTTATTATCTAAATTATTCTTATAGCTCCCTATCCGCTATATATCCTTAATACTAGGCTCTTAATAATCCTCCTCTTTATTATCACTTATTAGCTTAAGGGTTTTAAGCTAGGGTATTAGTTTCCGAGTTTAATCTAATAATATAGCTTCTCTAGTAGAAAGATATTCCTTTATAATATCTATCTCCTTCTACTTAACCTTAAACTTAGTAGCGAACTAATAAAGTATTAGTCCTTAGATTAGCGTATTCGGTAAGCGAGCTAGCTATATAAGCCAGCTGGCCACCTTACCTATCCTATTAAATTCAACTTGATTTATCTTAACCAAAACACCATTAAATTAATTCAATTAACTTGATTTATCTATCTAGATAGATTTCTCTTCTATATCCTAGTAATCTATATATTCTATACGCTCGCCCGGCCCGTATAGCTAGCTATAAACCCTCCGAAACCCGCTTACGATAGGTATTAATACGCGCTACTTAGGCCTTAAATAGCTCTAAACGTAGCTTACGGACCTCCTAAACTAAAAGATCTCCTTCGTGATATATATACCTTAAAGATCGGGTCCGCTTTGCGTTTTTAGCGCGTAATTCCTTATTTTCTTTAGCGAGTAGTATAGCACCTTATATTATAAGACGGAAGCCTTTTATAAGTTAGTCTAATACACGATCTAATAGGCTTAGAGGACTTCGAGATCTTATACGAAGTAAGGCTTTAATTAAGGAAGCCTATCGACGTAGTTCTTTCTCTATAGCTAGTGTTTTTAGTGTGAAATTCCGGCTTAATTCGCTACACTAGCTTAGAGGGGGGGGGGGGTTAGGGTTCGAAGATAAATATTTAGCTTCGAGATCACTCGATTAGGTATAAAAGGTACTAAACTAGCTAACCCGAAGCTATTTTTAATAGTCTCCGATTTAAAAGCTTTAATTTATACGAGGGGGTATATATCGAGGAAGTTAAGTTTATCGATATAGTTAATCCTATTCCGCATTTTTATTTTAACTAGCCGACTATATAATCGCTTTAATATAGTAAAATAACCGATATCTAGGGGTTATAAAAGATAAGAGGAGTGCGGAGGTATATAAATTAGTATAACCTTATTTTACTCGCAAATTTTATCGAATTTAGGGGTTAAATAGCTTCTATATCCGTCGAGTATTAGGAGACGATACCCCCCTTCGTACGCGAAGAAGTGCTAGGAATAAAGAGCTTTTTAAGCTAGCGAAGGCCTATTTTATCGGAAGTCTAACTATTAGGACTAACTTCGAAACGCTAATTATCTAGGAGGCCGTTAAACTATGATTTAATAAAGACTTTACCTTTAAAAATCATATATAGAGGAAGGGCCTAGCTAGAAGTATTCGTACACTTAATAACTATTACCTACTCTCGATTTCTAGGTTATAAAAGTGAACGCCGACCGTAGTATTCACTCCTTATAATAACCTTCGTAGTTATAGTTAATTCTATAATAAAACTAGTCTTATTAAAGTTATAAACGTTATCGGGGTCGATTCTAAATTAAAGGATAGTATTTTAAATAAGTGTAAACCACTCTTAAATAATCTTCGGGTCTTCGCACTTCGCACGTTCGTAATTATAGCGTCTCGAGAATCGGGAGGAGAGGAGAGGGTGTCGTTTTATAAAGTTATAAACCTATTTTTCGCCGACCGAAATAACTAGGGTGGTTCCGCGTTATTAAAGTAAAAGATTCGCTATTTCTCGTATAGTAGAAGGCCGGGGGGCTACTCTACGAGAGTCTATAGAAAGAATCTATTTTTAAAGAGATTCCTCCGTAGTTTCTATTAATTTATATAAATTTACGCGTGTAGTGCTTCGTTCGGCGTAGCTATTAAGACGATCGCGTAGGGTGGAGCGGGGTATATTAAAAGTGCGGGTAGCGGTAGTAATCGTACGAATTTCTTGCTTCTTAAAAGCCTACATAGCTAATAAAAGCCTACCCTCTTACTCTATTGAATCTCTAGAGCTTCGCGGACGAATAGGTGGCATGGTGGGTGGTTGAATTAACTAAGTGCTAAATCATAGACGCGTTTTAGGTGAGGTGGCGGCTCGGTAGTGAAATACGTTAATAAAATCACCCCCCCCCCCCCCCCCCCCCTACCTTAACTTTTAGGTATCTATAGACCGCTTTCCTTACCGCTTTTATCTTAAAAGTCACTATACCTCCTCTTAACCGGCCCCTATAATCCTTTTATAAAAGATATAGACCCTCGCTTACGAGGGTCGGCCACCTATATATAAAAGCCTACCTAAATATAATATTCTTTTTTAATTTCACCGTTTTACTTAATTCGTTAACTACACTACTAAAAATGGACGCCTCTATACTAACCCCCCCCGATCGGTTATATCGACCCCCGATTACTACTATATATTAGCGTATTACTAGACTACAATATCGCCTATAGACGGGCGGGTGGGCATTACCCACGGGCCTTATGTAAGCGGGAAATGGGCCCTATAGATAGGCCTATAGACGGGCCCTACCCTTAGGGCCTACG